ACAGGTGGAAGGGGCGGGGCATTGGCTTGGAGGAGAACGTCTGGGCGTCGAGGGGGCGGGGCTCTACAAGGAGGACGCGGGTCCGGTCTTGGTGTGCTGAGCCCCGGTAGACACTGGGGCGGGGCGGCTCCCCTGAGCAAAGAGGGGCGGGTCCTGGTGAAGGGGGGGCCTACTGCGGAGGGGCGCGGAGGGGGCTGGGCGAGGGCTGCCTAGCCCTAGTAGAGCTGCCTTGTCTGCAAGGACAGCGGAGTCCTGAGTGTCAACGGGGACCCCTGACCCCGGCTCTGAACGAGGCACTGACCCCCTATCCTGAACTCCGTTCAGGAACCCGGTACATTCCTCTCACCGCCCCTCTACACGCCCCGGACGCCCAAGCTCGGGGTGCAGCCCGCTTCCCAACCGTCAGAACCCTGCTCCGGGTTCCCCCCCAGATCCTCCCTGTCCTGCTGAGTTTGCTCTTCACCCCAAACTCCAGCACCCTGGCTCCCACCCTGAACCTGAAATCCGTCAGCGGCGGGCGTCCCTAGAGGTCTGTTCTGCTCTGGGGGTGACTGACCCCCAGCCCAGCCCCAACTCCCACAGTCAAGAGCCCCGTTTATCCATCTCTCACTACCTCCTCTCCGCCAGAGCGCCCAGGCCTTTGCATCCCAGTCCACCGACATGGGGCACCCTGGGCACTGCAAGGTTCTGAGTAGAGTCCCTGGCCTCCACCAGCTCCATACAGGGGCGCCCCCAGTCATGACAACCACGAATGTCCCCAGACATAGCCCTGTGTCCCAACCCCTTGGGAACAACAGGAAGCAGGATGCATCTTTGGGATTCCGGGTCTCAGCTGGGGTTGAGGAGACTCAAGGCCTCACAGCCAGCGGTAGGCGCCCTCCTGGCCACGGGGCAGCCTGCATCTGCAAGAGGCGACCTGGGAACTCTACCGCCTGGCCACAGAGCCGGTACCCTGGGTATTCAGATGGGTCACGTGATCCCAAACCTGGGGCTGCGAGCAGACACAGCCTCAAGAGTCCAGAAGCCACACTGCAAAGAGGAAGAGAAATGGGTGACATGAAATGAAATGAAATACAAATAAAAATAAATCTTGTAAATTATCAAATACCATATATCTTATAGGGGGTGGATGGTACTCCAGACTGAACCCAGGGCCTTCCCACTGAGCTACATCTGCCCAGCCCTTCTTTATTATGAGACAAGATCTCACTAAGTTGTCCATGCTGGGCTCGAACTTTTGATCTTCCTGCCTCAGCCTCCCAAGGACCTGGGATGACAGATGTGTACCACCATGCCCAGTTCTTGAACACCTTTTGTCAGTTTGTTTGTTTGTTTGTTTGTCACTATGTAGCCCAGGCTGGCCTCCAACTTGCAGCAATCCCCTTGCCTCATGCTTTGTCAGTTTATTCTTTTTTTTGTGGGGGGGGAGTACCAGGAATCAAACTCATGTCCTTACTCTTGCGCAGCAGGCGGCGAAACCACTGAGCTAAATCCCCAGCCCTGTCAGTTTATTCTTAAGTACTTTGTCCTCCCCCTGCCCCCATCCCAGTAGTGAAGATCGAACCCAGGGCCTCTGCACTGAGCTACATCCTCGGGGCTTTTTATAGTTTTTATTTATGTATTTATTTATTTTATTTATTTATTTTGGTATCGGGGATCGAACTCGGGTTCTTGCACTTTCGAAGCAGGTGGTGAAACCACTGAGCTAAATCTCCAGCCCTATATTTTTTATTTTGAGGTAGGGTTTTGCTAAGTTGTCCGGGCTGGGCTCCAATTTGAGGTCCTCCTGCCTCTGCCTCCCAGAGTGGGGGGAATTACAGGTGTGTGCCACCAAGCCTGGCTAAATCTGAAGGGCTTCTGAGCCCGGGGTCCTCCAGCTGTGTTCTGCTTGCTCCCTCAGCTTGCTCCTGCTCCATACACAGATCTGTGAGGGATGCAGGGGAAACTGCAGAGGTGGCCTCATCACAATCCACCCCAAACAGATACTACACTCCCTGAGGTCTCAGGAGTCCCTTGGGTGTGCCCCTGTCACTCCAGTCCTGTCTCTGTCATCACACGGCTGTCTCTCCAGAGGACACCAGGGCCACCTACTCAGTATTCACTGGACCAACTACATCTGCAGAAACCCTTTCTCCAGGGCCGGGGATTTAGCTCGGTGGTTCTGTAGCCTGCCTTGCAAGCGCAAGGACCCGAGTTCAATCCTGGGTACCAAAAAAAAGAAACCCTTTCTCCAAGCACGGCCACATGAAAGGTTCTGGGTGTGCCCGAGCTCCAGAGACATGAATGATGCCAGCAAGGCTTCCACCATTAGGGCAGTGGATCCAGGCTCCAATCTCCAGAGCTGTCCTGAGACCCCAGCCCTCTCAGCTGACCCCAGAGCCATGCTCCTGTTACCACCCGTGGTCGGATGATGTTCAGCCAGGGAGGCCTCATGGGGTGGGGGGATCCTCAACTCCAGAACCTGGCCCCAGCTCACTGGGCACAGAGGGTCTGGCCATTAACTGGTCTTTGCCTAGGCAAGGACAGGGGACCCATCTGAAAGGCTCTGGGGACAGCAGTTACCATGAGGGCATCCACACCCTGCTACCCCCCACGCTGTGAGCCCTACCTGGGACATACCTGTGCACTATTTGTGCCAGCCCCCAGACTGGTGACCACCCCAGCCACTGCACCTACCTGGCATGGGAATACGGTGACACACAGGAGGCACTGCTGGCCTCAGGCTGGACATGGAGGCTGAGTCACAGCCTGAGGAGATGCAGCCCATGTCCTGGGGTCCTCATCTCCTGGGAGCAAACAGACCCCTTCTCAGTGAGTCCACTGCCCGTGAGGAACACCAAGAACCAGGCAAGGTGGTGACCAGAACCTGCAGATGAGTGAGGACCAAAGAGCGTCTCAGCCATCACCCCCTGAGCCAGGGACAAGGAGGTGACAGGGTGGCCCTTAGGCAGGAGAGAGGAGGTGACCAGGGAGGCTGGAGTTGGGAGTCTAGGCTTCGTACAAGGAGATCCAGGGTGATGAGGAACAGCAGGCAGAGGGAGATGGGTGGCCTATGAAGGTCCCCAAAGAGCAGACAGTGCCCACTCCATCTGCAGCAGAGAAATGGGCACTGGGCTTAGGGAGACGGGGAGGCGTCTCGCTCCATCTGGGCAGAGGCTGGTAGGGAAGCAGAAGCTGGAGATCAGCAGGGGCAAGGACCAGTACGGTCCCAAGGGAGGGTGGATAGGGTCTCACCAGTCACCACAGAGCCAGAGGTCAGGGGCTAGGCCAGTCCACCCAGTGGACAGGGCAGGGCTCCCGGAGAGTTCCGCACAAATGCCCCAGCCCCGCTGTGACCCTGCCAGCCATGGCCCCCCCAAACACCTCTAGGGACCCCCAAGGATCCTCAGCCTCTCCTGATGCTGCAGGGGACGCCACTGGGGCTGGACACCCAGCTCCCTTGAGGTCACCTGGGCCCGAGCCATCTGCTCAGGACCCCTCCCCAGCTGGCCAGGCTGGGCAGGGAAGAGGTGAGGAGAGCTCACAGCAGGACTGTGGAGGCTGTCAGCATCCCAAGGCTGCACAGCCCCAGCCCCTGCCCAGGCCCAGTGGGTGTGGGTGGCCTGGCAAGCCTGGGTCAGCTACCAGAGCCCAGCCCCATCCTGTGGGTGCCACCAGTTGGCCCAAAGAGCCCAGTACATCGGCTTGTGGCCTCTCTACCTCGGTCCCCTTGTCAGCCCTCCCACCAGGCCCTCAGCCCGCTCAGTAGAGGTGAAGCAGGAACACGGAGGCCCCGTGGGCTGGAGCAGAGTGTGGCGGGCAGCGGGACCCCAGCCCCCCCACTCCCGAGTGGCCCATGCAGCCGGGTGACAGCTGTCGAGTGTCGGGGTAGCCGTACCAACTACTTATGGAACGAGGCGTCCTCTCAGCCCGATCTCCATCTTGTCGCCCACCTTCCTTGGTAACCCCAGCAGGGGGCTGACGCCCACCCCAAGGAGCCCTGAGGACCCAAAACTGAGAGGGCGAGGGGGTGCCGGGACCCTTGGCTGCGGAGCCAGGCGGCCTTGGGACACTCCCTGCACAGGAGCCAGGGTTCGGGTCGGGGGCTGGACCCTCATGGGAAGGAGGCTTCCTGCCGCCCCCGCCGAGAGGACTTCCCCGGGCGGGCCGGACGGTGCCGGGAAGGCGGTGGGGCCGGACACAGGAAGCCCAGGAAAGGCGCCCAGGTGGGCGGACAGGGCCTGGCCAATGATGAGGGCCCCGGGGTCCCAGCTCCTCATGGTCTCCTCGGCCCACCAAGTCCCCAGCCAGTCTCCATTCTGTGCCCGTCTATCTCAGTGGCCCCCCTGCCCTGTCTCTGTCACTCTGCCTCTCTGCGTCTCTTTCCTTTTCCTTTTTTTCGGTTTGGTTTTTTGAGTCCGAGTCTCACTACACAGTCGAGGCCAGCCTTGAACTCTCTGTGTGGCCCAAGCCACTCTGAATTTGGGGCAATCCTCCTGCCTCCGCCTGCTTCATGCCTGTGCTGGATGGCGGGCGAGCACCACCACACCCAGGGATATGTGTCTGTTTTTCTGTCTCTCTCTCTAGCTCTCTAAGTCTCCTACTCTGTCTTTGTCTCCATCTACCTCTCCTCGTGTGTCTCTATCTCGGGCTTGTCTTTTTTTTCTGTCCCTCTCCCCAGCCCCAGCCCTTTGCCTTCGCTGCCCCCTCTGCCCAGAGCTCCCTGTGGGCCCTGCCCACCTGTCCCCTCCTGCTCACCACACACGTGTGTGCGTCTGTGTGTGTCTGTCTGTCTGTCTGTCTGTGTCCTCATCTATGTGTCTGTCCCTTGCTGTCACACAGGCATGTCTGGCCCGAGCTCCATGACTGTCCGGGCAGAGCCTGGTGGGGGGACAGGCCCACCGTGGCCTCAGCCCGCCTGGCGCCCACTGACCCCTCCCTGCCTGGCCTGTGGTGCTGGCCTTGAGGGCCGCAGGAAGCGGGGTCAGGGGCTGGGAAGCAGCCATTCTCCAGCCCGCCGCCCAGGTTAAGGGCCCAGCTTCCCTGGGAGGGCCTGCTACTTGGAGCCGCCTTCCTGTGAAGCTTCCGGCACAGGGCCTGGTGCGGGGGAGGGGCCACAGAAGCCACAGCCCAAGTCACGAAAGGGCCCACCCGGCCTCAGACACAGGCCCCTCCCTCTGGGCCTCAGTTTCTCCCTTCTACTTCCACCCTCCCTTGAGCCTCAGTTTCTGGCTCTGACAAAGTGCCTGCACCCGTGCTGCCTGGCTGCCTTCCCTTATTCCATACTGGGGAGACTGAGGCACACCCAGAGGTCACCTGAGGCCAAACCTGGACCGATGCGCACCTTCCTTCCCATATGCTGGGGTCAGTCTGGGCCTACAGCAGGCCAGCTCCCTCCCCAAGATGGACTCCATGTCTGCAGCCAGGACTGTGCAGAGGCCCGGTGGACAAGGCCCCTGGAGAAAGTCAGGTGGGGAGGCAGGGACTGGGCAGAAGCTGAGCAGGGATGGGCACTGCCTGTGCAAAGACCCTGTGGCTGCCTGAGGGGGTGGGTGTGCAAGGCTCTGGCTTTTCCTCCACAGCAGCGCAGGGTCCATGTGTGTCAGATGTCACCCCAGAGCTGTGTGGCAACAGGCCATGAAGGCATCGGGGAAACAGAGCACACACAGGGATCAGAGGGAAAGGCCAGGTGGGTCCCACAGTTGAGAAAGACCTTCCTGGACTTCATGATGACAGCTACCTGGCCGGGGTGCAGCCCAGAGCCCTCTGGACCCCAGACCTAGGTCTCTCTGTGGGACAGGGAAGGCGGGCAGCTGGCGACTTGTCCCAACTCCACAGAGACCCTGGCCCTGGGCCCCAGCACCCCAGAAGATGCTGGCCCACGCTACAGCGTCGCCATTCCTGTCCATGTCTTCAAGCCACGCAGGGGAGGACGCCTGGAGCAGGAGCAGCATCAGACATTCCCGCCCCACCAGTTCTGACCCTGCCCAGCCCTCCTCTCCTCTGCAGCATGGCTGGGCCGGGGGTGGGGGGCAGGCCAGAAAGGCCCTTGGGAACCCCCTGGACAGCAGGCGGGGCAATGAGACCCAAGCACCACTACTTAAGCGGCCGCCCGGTGACCCTGGGAGACACAGGGACAGGATGCTGTGGGGCCTAGAGCTGCTGCTGGCCCTGTCCCTGGGGCTGCTTCGGCCGGGCAGGGGTGAGCAAGGAAGGGGATGGGGGGGGGTGCGGAGCTGGGGGGGGCTCAGGAAAAGGGAGGAGTGGGGGGGGCTGGGGCTCCAGCAAAGGCACTGGGCGGGGTCCGGCTGAGTGGGCCTGCGGTGAGCATGTGTCCCCACAGGCCAGCCCCTGCTGGTGGAGCCCCCGGAGCCTGTGGTGGTGGTGGCGCTGGGCACAGCACAGCAGCTGACCTGCAGCCTGGCCTGTGCCCACGGCACGGCGGCCGTGCACTGGCGAGGTCTAGACACCAGCCTGGGCACCGTGCGCTCAGAACCCGGCCGCAGCGTGCTCTGGCTGCGCAGCGCCTCCCTGGCAGATGCGGGCACACGAGTGTGCAGGGGCTCCTGCGGCAGCCGCACCTTCCAGCACCTCGTGGAAGTCCTGGTATACGGTGAGCCCCATGCACCTCGCCCACACCCTCAGGGCCACTCGCCCTCCACCCCCGTGTCCCCTAGACCCCACCTGGAACCCCTCATCGCGCGCCCCTGCCCCTCCACCAGGTTCAGCCTGACATCGGGGCTCCCCCTGGGCCCGCTCTGCCCACAGCCTTCCCGGACCAGCTGACCGTGTCCCCGGCCACCCTGGAGCCGGGGCGGGACAGGGAGGTGGCTTGCACGGCCCACAGCGTCACGCCCCAGGACCCAGACACCCTCTCCTTCTCCCTGCTCCTGGGGGACCAGGAACTGGAGGGCCTCCAGGCCCTGGGCCGGGAGGAGGCTGAAGAAGAGGCAGCCGTGGAGACCGAGGACCCTCTGTTCTGGGTGACCCAGCGCTGGCTGCTACCCACCCTGAGCATCCCCGCCCCAGCCACCCTACACTGCCAGGCCACCATGCAGCTGCCTGGCCTGGAGCTAAGCCACCGCCAGCCCCTTCCAGGTGAGCAGGTTGCTCCTGGCCACCCCAGGCCAAGGGCATCACAGTGCCCACCCTCTCTGTGGCTCCACTCGGGGCTGGCCAGACACAGTGCCCAACACATGGGGCACTTGGGAAGACTGGCCTCCATCTTCACCGCGCCACTCTGTGTCAGCCAGACAGTGAGTCATTAATTCAACAGATGTTTCCTGAGCACCTACACTGTGCTGACCCTAGGGTGCCACCCTCCCAAAACCCTCCATGGCTCCCACCTCCCTTGGGGTCAGAGTTCTGCTCCACCCCAGGCCACAGACCCCTGCACAACCAGCCCTGTTAATGTGTTCCCCCTGTTCCAGCCACATCAGCCTCCTTATTGTTCCCCGTACATACCAGCCTCTGTCCTGCCTCAGGACCTTTGCATAGGTTGTGCCCTCTGCCTGGATCACCTCCCCCAGGGACTACTCCCCTCACTTCCTCAGCTCTGTGCTCCAATGTGACCCTAATGAGGCTGCCCCTGAGCGTCCTGGGTACAGGGCCCACCCTCACCCCCAGGTGTGCCCACACACTCCTGTCCCTTCATTGACACCTGGTGTCCTCTGTGTCCCGTTGTACCTGTTCTCTGTCCCCCACCATTGGGTTCACATAGCTGGGAATCTGTGTGTCCCATCCGGGGCTATGTCCTCAGCAGCTAGAATGGACCCTGGCACACAGCAGGTGCTCAATTCCTGTGACTGACATATGTGTGGGCTCTGGGTGGTGTTCACATTCAGACTCACGTCAGGAAGTTGGCCATGGGTCCTAGCATGGAGAACTAGGGCCTGGAGTACAGGCCAGAGGCAGGGACCCAGAGGCAAGCACACTCCTGGGATGTGTATAGACCCTACGAGCCAGGCCTGACGGCACAGGCCTATCATCTCTGAGAGGCTGAGGCAGGAAGACACCAAGTTTGAGCCCAGCCTAAGCACCTTAGCAGGATTCTGTCTCCAAAAATTAAAAAGGCCAGGCGGCTGTAGCCCAGTGGTGAACACTTCTCCAGGATATGTGAGGCCCTGAGTTCCATTTCCACAAAAAGGAAGGAGGAGGAGGATGGAAGAAGAGGAAGGAGGTGGCTCAGGGTCCCCTGCCTGATTCTGCCCACTGTGATGTTCGGCATTCACCAGAGCGGTCTGGGAGGGTCCTGGAGGGGCCAGACGGGGACACTCAGGGAGGAGCTGGGCCTGAGCCCCAGTAGAAAATGGCTCCACTGTGTTCCAGTCCTCCACAGCCCGACCTCGCCAGAGACTCCCAGTCCAACCTCGCTGAAGCCCTCGGACCTGACCTCGCTGGAGCCCCCCGACTTCATCTCCACAGCACACCCCAACTCCATCATCTCGGTGGAGCCCCCCTACACCCCCTCCCCACAGGCCACCCCTGAGCAGGCCCCCTCACCCAGCCCCCACAGTCCCCACAGCTGCCGCCCTGAGATCCGCCAGGTTCCCACAGCAGCGACGGAGGCAGGGGCTGGCTGGGGGCTGCTGTGCCAGGCAACCTGCGGGTCTGGAGTGGCTGTGCGCTGGACTCTGGCCCCCGGGGGCCTGGATGCCTACAAGAGGAGGATGGCCGGGGCCTGGGCCTGGCTGGGTGCACCACTGCTGACTAATTCCAGCCCCGAGGGCTGGTTCCAGTGCCGCCTGGAGCCAGGTGGGCAGGTAGCCAACCTGTACGTGCAGGGCCGGAATGCAGACCCAAGTACCTGTGAGTCCTGGTGCCCAAGGGTGGGGACTGGGACTGGGAGGGACGGATTCCCTGGCTCAAAACTAGACAAGCCAGGTGTGATGGCACACACATGTAGCCTGGGCCACACAGTGAGTTCAAGGCCAGCCTGAACTAGGTTCCTTGTCTCAAACAAATAAACAAACAGGCAGACAAATAACTTTAGACAGAAAATGGTCTTGCCCCGGCTAGCCTCAATTTCCCAATCAGACCAGTGAGCTTCCTTGGCGGGAGATTTCTGTAGACCCTGAGCTTTACAGACTAGGAGTACAGCCTATAGAACAAAAATAGAAGTAGAAGGGGCCCGGGATTTAGCTCAGTGGTTCCACCACCGCCTCCCTCACAAGTGCAAGGTCCTGAGTTCAACACCCAGTACCAAAAAGATTAAATAAATAACATACTTGAAAAGGACTGGGGATGGAGCTCAGTGCAAAGACCCTGGATTCCATCCTCAGCACTGCAAAGAGAATGAGAGAGCGAGAGGAAAGAGGAGAAAATTCAACATGTAAACATGAAAATGTGTGAAGCCAAGCATTTCACATTATTTTTAATAATATTTTGAGTTTTTCACACTAAGTCGCAGAAAGACACTGTGGTCGTATAGGCAGCTCTTTTCCATTCAGGCATCTCCATGTCATATGCAGATGGTGGCCAGTGGCCACCTTGCGGGACAGGTCCAGCCCTTAAGGTCCTGGGTAGATCTGGGAAGGTTCACTGAGTGTCCCTGGTAAGACCTCAGCCCCCTGGGTCAGCATGGGCTGCTGTGGAGCCTGCAGAGGTGTCCAGGGCCCTGACCATCTTCCTTTTGCTCTTCCAGCGTCCAGCCCTGAGGTTGTCCAGCCATCTGAGGCCCTGTGGATGGGCAGCGTGGCACTGGGGCTGCTGCTGCTGCTAGCCCTGGGCGCCTATTGCCTGAGGAAACACTGCTGGCCAGCAGCCAGGGACCTCTCTCACCCGTCCGTCTCTCTGGGGCTGCTGCATGCACAGGACTCAGCGGGGTGACTGGCCACTCCCCGCACCCAGCTGCAGGGCTCTGGGCAGCAAAAGGGCTGACTATGCGCCCTGTTCCCTGGGGCCCAACAGGCCTGTGACCCCTCTCCCCAGCTGGCCGGGCTTCCACCACGCTGAGGGTCCACTGCTGGAGAATAAAGGCCACGTGGTCTGACCACTGGCGACACTTATCGTGTTGGGAGAAGCCTGAGACCTCTGCACATCTCTCATGGTACGCTGCACCGGGCGACTGCCCGGCGACAGGTGTTCACACATCCTCTAGAGCCAGGCCGGGGAAACCAGGGCCTGCCGGGCTGGGAGACACCAGGCTTATGCACGCTTCTGTGTGAGGGGTCACTGCAGTGTAACAAGAAATTAGGAGTCTCCAAAGGACTAGAGAATTGTTTGGTGGGGAGGTAGCGTGGACACGGAGGGGAGGTTTATGGAGGGAAAATCGCTTGTCTTCAGGGAGAGTAGGAGCCGAGAAGGGTGGGAGAGCGGCTAGAAATGAGATCGCTAGTTGAAGGGCAGGCGATTCCAGACAGCAAAGGGAGGAACTTGGACCTGAGGGAACTGGGGAGCCATAGCAGTTTAAACTATAGCAGACGCAGTGGTAGAACGCCCCATCTGGTGGTTAGGAAGAGTACAGCCTGGGGAGGCTCAAGTCAAACACAGGCTGCTAGGCTGAGTGGCAGAAATGCGGTCTGGACCGACCCCCAACCTCGCGATAGGTCAGATTTCTCTGATACCCAGGGAGACTGGTTGCTAAGAAACCACGCTAATAAAGGACTCGCCCACTAGCAAGATGGCAAGCAATACGGCTTCATGCCAGAAATCAAACACTTCTTACCGAGCCATTTTGGAATCTGGCAAAGTGCAGGCTCAGGGCCAGAGCCGAGAGCTCTAGTCAACACACTATATGCAAACAGAAGCAAAAGACAATGCCAATTAGACTTAGGGAAAAGGATGGCTTTCTTTCGTTTTCTGGAGTTTCACGGATGGGGGAGGGGCAGGTGGAAATCTGCCCTCAAGTAAGATGGCCGCCTCGAGGCCTCTGCGCGCCGTGGAATACTACAATGCTTCCGGCTCCCGGCCCTCAGCGAAAATGGCGGCAGTGGAGAAGCGGCGGCCGGCGGGGACACCGGCGGGCAGTTTCACGGACAGTGGCCGCCCGTCGGTGTCCCGGACGGCAGCAGCGGTCGAGAGCGAGGAGGACTTCCTGAGACAAGTCGGAGTGACGGAGATGCTGCGCACAGCCCTGCTGAAAGTGCTAGAGGCGCGGCCCGAGGAGCCCATCGCCTTTCTGGCACACTACTTCGAGAACATGGGCCTGCGCTCACCGGCCAACGGCGGCGCTGGAGAACCCCCAGGGCAGCTCTTGCTGCAGCAGCAGCGCCTAGGCCGCGCTCTGTGGCATCTTCGCCTGGCTCATCACTCGCAGAGGTGCGGACCAGCGCGGGTGGGACGGGGGCTGGACTTCAACTCCCGGCGTGTCTCGCGCTGAACCCCCCCCCCCCCCGCTCTCTGCACAGGCACCGTCCTGGCACTCTGGGAGTTGTAGTCCATATGCTTCCTATGACGGGGCAGAGTGGTTTGGGTCAAACTACAGCTCCCAGCGTGCCACGCGCAGACACTACTCTCCCAGACGCCGGTGCGGGGCACTCTGGGAGTTGTAGTCCGCGCGGTCCTGGGCGGGTGGAGGTGTATTTGGGCCTGTTGGGGCGGAAGTGGCTCAACCCAGGGTCTCCTTTGTCGCTGCCTTTGCGCTTCCCTTCTATGGCTGTCTTTTTTTATTTGGTTTGGCTCGGATTGGTTTTTGCATGCTGGGAATAGAACCTAGGACCTCACACTAGACCTGTGTGTACCACTGAGCTGCACCCCCAGCCCCAGTGCCTCTGGCTCTGAAGGTCCTGAAACGAGAGGATTGGCCCCAAGGTCACAGAGCAATCGGGGCCGGGCCACCCCTGCCAGCCACCTCCCTAGCATCTCCAAGTGATCCTGATCTGCTCAGCCAGAACCAAGAGCTACAAGGCTGGGCCTGGAGATGAGTGACCCAGTCCCTCAAGGCCCTGCAAACCCAGCAGATGCATTGGCCCAGAGGCCACCTTAGCACTCCAGTATGGACCACAGCTCTGGGAAGGTCTGGTTTGGGGCTGAATCGTGTGGGGTCCAGGGGCCCTCCTGGTCATTTCTGTCCCCGGGGTGGCAGTGGTCTGAGCTCACACTCAGTGTTACTGTGGATTGGGAGCAGCTGACTGACAGGTTTACGTCAGAGAGGGCACTGACTGGAGGTCTAAGCTGGTATCTCAGGGTGTCTAAGTCACTTTATTCATTGCTGGGACAAAAAACTGACCTACATCTTAAAGGAGAGGAGGTTTATTTAGGCTCCATTTTAGAAGTTTCAGTCCTTGCATGGTCAGTGGCATAGCGGAAGGGGAAAGCTGCTTACCTCATAGCGTACAGGAAGCAGAGAGTGAAGGGCAATGCCAGAAAGGGAAATAAACCCTTCCAGGCCACTCCCCCAGTGACCCTGTCTTCCAACCAGACCCCACCTAAGAACAAGTCAGCTATAGCCCCACAACCCAATCATCTTCCAAAACCCCCATCTATGAGTGCATAAGGCTCTTGGGGGACATCTAGATAGAAACCATAAAATAGGGACCCCTGGAAGCGGAGCCCAAGGCAGGTGGTTGCATGGTGCCTTTAGAGGGGTGGGTCCAGGAGGAGGAAGAGGGCTGGGAGAAAGCCAGGCAGAGCTGTGTTCAGCCAATCACCAAGGGAGGTGATGTCCCTGGGGTCCAAACTCCTGAGGGTTCCAGCTCCCCTAGGGCAGAGTCCCCAGGGAGTCCCAAAGGAGCCAGGCCAGAGAGCAGCAGGAGACATCCCTACCCCAGGGGCTGCAGGAGCTCGGGTGTCCCGAGATGACAGCAGGCAGGGGAGTGATGGGGCTGGGGAGGAGGAGAGGTCTATGGAAGGCGGATGGCACAGTGTCCTCAGGGGCTGAGCTGAGGGGCCTGCTGGGGCCGGGGTGGGGAGCACTGATGTGGAGAACCTTGCTGGAGTTACTTGCCCACAGGAGCCAAAGCAGGGCATGGACAGAGGGTCTGCAGCTACAATGCAGGCCTGGAATAGGAGGCTATTAACTGGGAGGGGCTGTGGTGTTCAGGACCACCCTCTCAGGAACCCAGCCTTGGAGAACCATGAAAATGACTGGCAGTCAAGACCAAAGAAGAAGGAGCAAGCCAAAAGGATGTGGTATTCTGGGACATCCAGAAGAGACTCTTCCAAGGAGGAAAAATGGTCAGCAGCAAGGCCAACATGGATGGTTCCCCAGGCTGAGCGCTGCCCAAGTACTCACCCTATAAGATCACAGATGAAGATATTTATATTAATCTCCCAAAGCTGCAGTAACAAACTACCACAAATTTAGTGGCTTAAAATACCTGAAATGTATTCTCTAGAAGTTGAGCAGGCCAGAAATCTGAAATCAAGGTGTCAGCAGGACCCCATTCCCTGTGGAGGCTCTGGGGTGGGGGGGTGGTTTCCTTCCTGCCTCTTCCCGCTTTGTGGCTACAGAAAGTCCTTGGTGCCCCCAGCCTTGGGGTCACATTGCCCCATCTCCTTGTCCCTCCTCACTTGACTTCTGTGTCTCTTTGCCCTCTTCAAAGCACACCGGCTGTTGGATTATAGCTGACCCCACTTACCTGGCCACACTCGAAAAAGTCCTGTTTGGAGAAGGCCATGTTCTGAAAATCCAGATGGATGTGACAGCATCACCAGTCAGCTCAGGACAGGAACATTGCACCAACAGCTGGAGGCAGTGCAGAATGGCAGGGGCCACAGGAGTCAGTCCTGGGCTGGTTCTTGAGCCTGCTGGTGACAGTCCCCTCTTCTTCCAGGCCCTAAAAGGAGGATCCCTGTCCCACCCTCCACGGTGCCACCAGTCTGCTGAGGGCTCTTGCTCAGCTCATACAGAAATCACAAATTGGTGAAGTGGAGCTCTTTTAGTGCTCACAGCTGCCGGCAGCTCTCAGCTCTCAGTGTTAGCTGACCTCCTGCGCTCAGAGCCAGCCGCTACCCGCAGCCCCAGGACCCTCCTGGCCACCAGAGGAGGCGGCTCTCAGATATCCCTAGTTTCCCATCACTCTGGCTCCCCGCCATCGTTAGTGTTACCAGCTTTGGCCACCAGCTACTCGTGTTGCCAGCACACACTACTCAAGACAGAAGTCTCCAAGAGCCAGGAATCCGTGATCCAGAAGAGGCTTCATTAGGGCTTGTGCCTTGTGCCGCAGCATAAAGGGAACTGTGCACAGAGTGACCCGGCCTGACCTACAAGAGGTCGCTTGTGTCAGCTGACATGGCTAGGACAAGGTCCCCTGCAGATCTGACCATGGAGGCTGTGAATGGACAGATCATCGGGGCAGGTCCAAGTCCCATGGCACATTTGTGGCCACAGCAAATGTCTCCTGAAGCAGCTGTGGGGTGAAGACAACCACAGCCCTCTATAGGTGTCTCTGGAGAAATGCAAAGTGCTGGCTCCCCCAGGGGCTGAGGAAGCCCAAGTGTCTGGAGATGACAGCCAGGTAGGAGAGCCACGTGCACCAGGGAGGAGGAAAGGTGATGGCACCCTCTGTGTCCCCACTGGCCTCCTGCCTTACTGGCCTGCAAAGTTCCCTGGAGCACAAACAGGAAATGCTGTCGGGAGGCCAGCAGGGAGCAGAGCAGGAGTCAGGCCTGAGAGCATGGCCCCTGAGGCCACCACATTGCTGACTGTGGCAGTCAGAGGCACGTTGACCCTTTGCAGGCCACCACCAGGAGACACACAGATGACCAGCCAGGCCAGGGCCCCTGGCTCTCGGACTGTGCTCTGTGTGGCATCCTGGGCACTGCAGGGTACTGAGGACCATCCCTGCCCCCCACCTGCTCCAGGCTAGGGGCTCCCCCAGTGTGACAGCCATTGCTATCCCACGTCCCCTGCACTGAAAGCCACTGGTCAAAGGTGGGGTATAGGGGCCGGGGATGTAGCTCAGCCAGCACAAGATCCTGAGTTCCATCCCCAGTACTGGGAGGAGTGGGGGGTGTAAGCTCCCAGGGCCCTTTCTGGAGACATCTTGTAAATACACTGTCTTTCTCTGTCAGATGCTCACAAGCCCTGCAATCTGCTCTCCCAAGTGCCCCATGGTCCTTGTCCCCATCCTGCAGACAGAACCCTGGTGGAGCTGGGGCTCACACTCAGGCTCAGAGCTCGCCGCCTTGGCTCTGCCTGCCTGTCACCCGCCCATGATTCAGCAGGAGCCGCCTGGGCTTGGGCAGCCTCTGCCAGTCCCTCTGCACTGCCCAGGTCTCAGCGGGTTGGGCTGTGGTTTCTCGCCTTGCATGTCTCCCTGTGTGAGGTCAGAAACACATGGTAAACAGCACCTGGCTAGCATGGCTAGATGGGGCCGGGGGTGAGAGACACAGGGCCTCTCCCATGTGCCAGGCACAGCCTTTGGGCTCCTGGTGCAAGGTCTATCCATCCTCACAGGAATCCCGAGGGGCAGGGATTGGGTCCGCATTCTCCAGATGAAGAAAGCAAGGTCAGAGCTCAGTGATTTGCAAGACCATGAGGCCCGGAGGTGGAGGACAAGCCCTGGAAGGCAGGTCTGGACAGTTCAGAGCCACACACCCACGGCGCCTCACAGATGTCCCAGGAACCAGAGGAGGGCCGGGGATTTCCCCCAGCTGCCAGAGTCATGGGCAGACAGAAGGCAGATGCCTCTTGTCTGATGCCTGGCAGAGGGAAACCAGGCCACAGAGCCGGGCGTGTCTCGGCCCACAGATGTTTCAGTCAGAAGCCGGGCATGACTGCACACACCTGTAGCCCTAGCACTCAGGGGCTGAGGCTGAGGCCATCCTGAACTGCATAGTGAGACCCTGTTTTAAAATTTAAAAGAAACATGCTGGGGATTTAGCACAATGGTTTCGCCGCCTGCTGAGCAAGTGCAAAGACCCAAGTTCGATCCCTGGTACCAAAAAACTAAAATAAAATAAACAGGAGCCCGGGTATTTAGCTTAGCAGCACCCTGCCTGCCTTGCAAGCACAAGGTCCTGAGTTGATTCCCTGGTACCAAAAAAAAATAAACAGACAAAAGAAGTATGGAGCAGCCACATCATGCCTAGGACTAGACACACCCAATTACCATGTGACTTTGACACAACTGGGATCTACAGGGAGGCTCCACTGCACCATCATTTTTGGTTTGTTTTTTGTAACAGAGTCTTGCTATGTAGTCCAGGCTGGCCTTGAATTCACTGTGCATCCCATGCTGGTCTCAAACTCATGGTGACCTTCCTGCCTCAGCCTCCTGAGTGCTAGGATGACAGGCGTGTGCCACCACCTGCAGCTTCCACGGCACTATCTTGACATGAGAGTACACAGCCCTGGGACAGGGAGGCAGTTCCTGGGGACAGGACAGTGACTTTATTGTTTTTTGTTTTGTTTTTTTGGTACCAGGGATCAAACTCAGGACCTTGGGGTTTTGAGCCAGGTGGTGGAACCACTGAGCTAAATCCCCAGCCCTCTTTCTTTATTCTTATTTTTTCAGGGCCAAAGATGAAACCCAGGGCCTCTCCCGTGCTAAGCAAGCACTCACTACTGAGCTACATCCTCAGCCCTTTTTATTTTCGAGACTAGGTCTTACTAAGTCACACGTTATCTGTCATCAAACTCATGGTCCTCCTGCCTCAGCCTCCCCAGTGGATGAGATGACAGGCCTGTGTCACCACGCCTAGTTTGCAGTGGCTCTGAAAGCGCCCAAGCATGACTTCCCTTCCATCGCAGCAGCTAAAGCAAGTCACACAGCTCTGCCTGGCTCAAGAGTGGAAAGACGCACTGTCCCAGGACCCTGGCATCTGTGCCTGGCACTGCAGAACTCAGAGCCACCCCCACAACAAGAAAGCGAAGGTGGAAGTGGGGCTAAGGGCGGCTCATGAAAGACAGTGGCATCTGCCTGGCTCCCTGTGGCATCACTCACTCAAGCACTGGGGACGCTAAGGCCACTCCAGGTCGGAATCGAGTGACTCCAGTAGGCGCTATGTGGGAAACAGACGCAGCATGGTACCGAGCACCAATGCCGTAGCCTGGCCTCAGTGTTCACTCTGTGACAGGGATTTGGAAGGCAGGCTCTGTGGACAGCACATCCACCCCTACGCCCTGACCTGGGCAGCTGCAGTGAGCCCTGAGGCAGTGCTGAGTGTCTAACGTATCCCGGCCCTCGAGGGCAAAGCCACGAGGTCAGGATGCAGTGTGTCAGGAACCTGCCCCTCATCTCAGAGCTGACCCCAGAGGAGACAAGGGAGGCCCCTGGAGTTGGCCACTTCCCTGCATTGCACTGCAGTCCTCGTGCTCACTACTGTGGGCCATAGGAAGAGTGGGGAGATCCACACAGGCCTGCAGTGGCCACATCTGGAAGGACAGGGACAGTGCAGTGTGCCTGGGGCCAGTTTCTGCCTGAACACCAGCTCCTGCCTGGGGCAAGAGGCAGCTAGGGGCTGCGGGGCATGATGGCACACGCCTGTCATCCCAGCACTCTGGCAAGCTGGGGCAGGAGAATCAGAAGTCTGACCACAGCCTGAGCAACTTATCAAGACCCTGTCTCAAAATGAAAAGTAGAAAAGGCTGGGGATGGAGCTCAGTGTAAAGGCCCTCGGTTTCATCTCCCAGTGCCAAAAAAAAAAGGAGGGGAGATGGAGGCAACATCTGGAGGAGGCAAAGATGGAGGGGGGTTGGGAAGCCTCGGGGTGGAGGTGCAGCCGTGCAAAGGTCCTGAGGCCAGCCTGGCCTGGCGCTTGGGTGAGCAGGTGCCAGGTAGGCTGTGTCCCCAACACCCTGTCCTCCCACCCACAGGACAGCCTTCAATAACAACGTCAGCGTGGCCTATGAGTGCCTGAGCAAGAGCGGGCGCAGGAAGAAGCCGGGGCTGGACGGGAGGACCTACAGCGAGCTGCTGCGGCACATCTGCCGGGACGGCCAGGCTCCAGAGGAGGTGGTGGCCCCCTTGCTGCACAAGATCCAGTGCCGTGATCACGAAGCGGTGCCGCTGGGCGTGTTCCGGGCTGGCATGCTCACCTGCTTCGTGCTGCTGGAGTTCGTGGCTAGGGCCAGTGCCCTGTTCCAGCTGCTGGAAGCCCCAGGCCTGGCCACCATTGACCGCCGTGTGGGCCAGGCTGTGCTGGACACCCTAGAGGGTGCCCTGGGTGCCGGGGACCATGCCACCACCCCTGCCTGCTACCTGGAGGCTGGCTCACGCCTGGGGCCAGACAGCCTGGCACTGGCCATGGACCGAGCAGCAGCTGGGAGGAGGCCCAGCTCCCCCATGGCCCGGGAGGAGTTCCTGGAGAAGGCGGCTGCTCTCTTCATCGCCAAGGTCAAGCCAGTGGGTTGAGCCCACTCTGTGCACCCCAGACCCCAACCCTAACCAGGACCTGGGACAGCAGCCAGCCGGGACTCCACGCCTCCCACACCTGCCCAGCCTCCTGCCTGCCCTGGGCCCTGCTCAGCAGAAATAAAACCTGTGTCTAGGCCACCCCTCCTGTGTGCCTGTGTGTGGCTGTGCTGCCCCTCCCAGCCTAACAAATCACCAGAAAACACATCTCACACACCTGTCATTCCAGCACTCTGGGAGGCTGAGCCAGGAGGATGGCAAGTTTGAGCCCAGGTCAGGCAACTTAGCAATTTAGTGAAACCCTGTCTCAAAAATAAATATTAGGTGTGGTGGTGCACACCTGTAATCCCAGCACCCGGAGGCTGAGGCAGGAGGATTACTGCTGAGCTACACAGCAAGACCCTATCTCAAAAAACAAAAGAGGAAATAAAAAGGGCTGGAGATGTAGCCCAATCCAAAGGCCCTGGGTTCAATCTCTGGTGCTGGAAGAGACAGCCATGAGACTCTGCCTGGGAACACAGCACCCGAGTGCTAAGCAGGGAGGCCGAGTGGGATTCTGCAGCCATGTCACCACTATGCCTCCTGCAAACAAGCTGACACTCGAGCTGAGCTGAGATGGCCCTGCTTCTCCCTGTGTTCCCTTCCTCACTCTGCCCCAGCACTGGGCCCCCTTAGGCTCCTCCAGTGATCACATCTGCAGTCTTCCTACCCTGAGAGGTGATGGGGCACAGGTTCTCTCAGGCATGTCTCTTTCTGCTTTATTTCCACGGCTCCTGGGCCACCTGAGATCATGTATTTCTTCCTAAAAAGGCACAGTAGCAGCAAAACACTACTGTCTGGGCTGGAGATTTAGCTCAGTGGTTTCGCCGCCTGCTGCGCAAGCGCAAGGACTCAAGTTCAATCCCCAGTACAAAAAAAAAACACTACTGTCTGCACCTGCCTTGCAAGTGCAAGGTCCTGAGTTCGATCCCCAGTACAAAACAAAAACAAAAACAAAAACCCTCTCCTGTGTGGGTCTCCATGCTAAGCTCATTTCATGTGTTACCTCATCTCACACCTTTATTTACTTATTTATTTTTGAGACAGTCTCAAGCTGTAGTTCAGGCTGGCCTTGAACTCTCTGCCCAGGCTAGCCTCAAACTTTTGGTGATCCTCCTGCCCCAGCCTCACAAGTGCTGGGACTACAAGTATGTGCCACCACACCTGGCACCTAACACATTTTATAGCTAAATGGAAACTTGGCTTAGCATTTGAGACCCATGTTCATGGTCATAGCAGAACCCAGACTTGAATTCAGGGCTCTTGAGTGGCATTAAAAAAAAGGAAAAAATGTATGGGCCATTTGACAGAAGAAGTCAGGTACAACTCGATCCAGGAACATGAACAGGGTTCTGGAGTCTTCTCTCTCATCCCCCAGCACAGCTGTCCTGAGTGTCAGCATCATTCATGGGCCTTGTGATAACAAGATGGTCCATAACCCCAGCCAGGTCCTGCTCAGCTGCCTCAGCATTGTGTGCCTGCAGATCTCCCAGGGCTGACTGGCGTCACATGCTGACTCCCAAACTATCCTGGAAACCTCAGAGGCTGCAGGGCTCTGCTTGGATGATCCATCCCTGCATCTGGGGTTTGGGGTCTGTCCAACTTGCCCCAAAGGACAACTTAGTGCCTTGGCCAGAAAACCAGTGGGCAAAACCCCCAATGTCCACCACCCACCGCTCTAAGATGTTCCATGGACCGGAAGCAGGCACTTGGGGGAGTCCGACTATAAACCAAAAACCTCCTTCCACCCACCCCAACGCTTCCTGTAGGGAGATCTCTCTCGGAAGGCTTGGAGGAAACCTAATTCTAATCACTATTTATTAATAGTAGCAACACCTTGGTAGAGAGTCACAGAGCACTCAGGACCCTCTGGAAGGTTCTTAACCACTAGAGTCACACTGACCCAGGCACCCCATGGTTTTCTCCAGGTCCCAGGGTGCTGGGCAGAACCCCATCAGAGGTAGAAGAGACAGAGTCCAAGCCTTGGGTGACACAGAAAGTGTCCAAGAGGTCTTTCTTGGACGGATCCTAGCCCCATCTCCAGCATTGATTTCCTTTCCCCGGCCAGCTCCACCCACCTGTCCCCCGCTGGGACACCTCATACCTCACATGGCTGGGCCCTCAAGCCTGGGCACCTGTGGGAGGGAGCCACCCTCCACCTAGCCCCAGGCATCCATGTAGCTGTCAGATGCCCAGGACCCATGTGGATGTGGCACATCCAGAGAGCCAGGGCCACAACAAACCACAGTCTTGGCTAAGCTGCCATCCCCACCGGAGCACCCATAACCAAGTGTCCAGGCAGGAAGTGTGTGGGCATCTGGGCCAGGACTGGTCAGGCCACAGCCAGGCAGGGTCCTGTGACCCCATGGTCAGGGGTCAGCTGAGGTCTAACCTGCCTGGCTTTTCCCCGCCTCAGGGCCTCTGCAAGTCAGCGCCTCATTCCAATCTGCTCTGCAGGGCTTGGGTAAGGTCAAAGGTCATTTTGAAATTAGGGCAGCCACAGAGCCCCAGCCTGGACTCCATGGGCTAGGGGAGGAGGGGTCCGGCTGTGGGGATCAGGTTGGGCCCTGTCCCGGGTTATGAGGAGTCCATGCTGCCTGATGCGTGCTGCATGGGGCCCCTGTTTTCGGCTCCATTCTACAGGAAACTGAGGCCCAGCCATGTGGAAGCCGGGTGCGGGCCTGGAGCCCCCATTCTTTTTTTTTTTTGGACAGGGTCTCACTACACAGCTCAGGCTGGCCTTGAACATGGTGATCATCCTGACTCAGCCTTCCAAGTGCTGGGATTACAGGCATGGGCAACCACATCTGGCCTTTTTTCTTTTTTCCTCTTTCTTTCTCTCTCTCTCCCTCTCTCCCTCCCTCCCACCTTCCCTGTCTCTCTTTCTTTCTTTCATGCCCAACTACACCCGGCATTTTTCCTCTTTCCTTCCTTCCTTCCCTCCTTCCTTTTTTTCTCCCCAAAACAAGGTCTCATTATATAGTCCAGGCTGGCCTTGAACTCACTATGTAATCCAGGCTGGCCTCAACCTCACATAGATCCTCCTGCCTCAGCCTCCCAGGTGCTAGGATTACAGACGTGCACCACTATGCCCAGCCCCGAAGACGCCATTCTAGACCTGGTCGCCCTCTCCGCTGACCCAGAACGACCCAGCAGGGGCCTCACCCGCCCTTCCTTTCCCAGGCTGGTAAACCGAGCCTGAGCCGCAGCCTCCGCAGTGGCCCCTCCCGAACCCCGCCCAACTCCCGCCCACAGCTCCACCCCCCGCGGGGATGTCACAAAAAAGGCACCCAAAGCCGCAGGGACCAGGCCAGACGGCACAACCCAGTCCTTCCCGCGTCCCCGGGCACACGCGTCCGCGGAGCTAGTCCAGGCGGCGCGGGAAAGGGGACTCGGCTTCCCGGCGTGCCCCGAGGGCAGGCGCGCAGGCGCAGTCGGGCCCAGCGGAGGAGCGCAGGCGTACTCAGGGAAGAGTTAGCGGGCAGGGCCGAGGGTGGGCGGTGACTCCAGAGCGAGTGGAGCGTTCGGAGTTTCCTAGCGGCGGCGGCGGTGGCGGCGGAGGCGGCGGCGGCGGCGGCGGCGGCGGGGGCACAGAGGAGGAAAGCGGCGGCTCACCTCCGGCCGGCGCGCGGCCCGTCCCGTCCCGCGAGATCGCGGCGGTCCGGGGAACCGGCGCGCCCTCTACCCCGGGCCCCTCCGCCGCCCCCGCCGCTACCGCCGCGATGGCTCGGCCGCTGGTGCCCAGTTCCCAGAAGGCGCTGCTGCTGGAACTCAAGGGGCTGCAGGAGGAACCGGTAGAGGGCTTCCGCGTGGCTCTGGTGGACGAGGGCGACCTGTACAACTGGGAGGTGGCCATCTTCGGGCCCCCCAACACCTACTACGAAGGCGGCTACTTCAAGGTGAGCTCGGTTTCCCCTGCGTCCCAGGTTCCTCGCTTTGCCCGCCCCCGCCGCTGTCAGTCGCCCCAGCAGCCTCCCCTGGCTCCCTGAGCCAGCCCCACCTCCTGACAGCCTAGGCTTCCTCCATCACCCAGAGGGCAACCGGGCCCCCTCGCTTTGTGCGGGTGTGAGGCGCTCGCTGACCTCACTTCAGGGAAGAGGGCACTGGGAGCGGCTGGCACGGCCACTGCTCGGTTCCAGCAGGGGCCCGGATGGGGCTTGGCAGCCAGACCTGTTGGAAAGCGGCCACCCTTCCCCAGAGCGGGGCCCCTCCCTGGCTTTATGTAACCTGTGCCCTCGGGAGCATAGAGGCAGGGGCCACTGCGCCCACACTGGTCCCCCAGCCACACCTGGGGCTGCTGTCCTGTTCCCTGCCTGCAGCACCCCGGGGGACCCCTATCTCCCCGGCCTCCCTCTCTCTAGTTCCCCTGAGCAGGTGGCTTCTTGAGGCCCAGATCTTGCTTTCTGGGTTGTTTCTTCTGCCCCTCTGGTGGTTTGAGGCTGAAAGTCTTTGGTGTTCTTGTTGTTGGGAGCAGGGAGCCAAAGGCTGTCCCCCAGAGTGGCTGTGTATGTCTGATGTGACAAAGAACGAGGGCAAAAATCAGGGCAGTTTTCTTGATCTCTCAAACCGAGCCCAGCCAAGGCCTTGGACTCCTTTGGGGGAGTTTGGAGCCAGAGGGAGGAGGCAGGGTCTCCCCGCTTGTGAGGGGAGCGGGTGGGAGGGAGCTGAATCCAAAGCTCGTCTGGCTGCAGAGGTGTCTGTGTTTGCACTGCACCTGCCCACTGGCCATGAGCCCGGCAGCCTTTTCTACTAGGAAGGTATTCTTTTATTCATTTGTGTATTTATGTATTTAGTTTTTTCAAGATAGGGTTTTGCTGTGTGGTTCAGGCTGGACTTGAACTCGCATTGTAGTCCAGGCTGGTCCCCGACTCCTGATCCTTCTACCTCACCCTCAGGAGAGCTGGGTTTACAGGCGTGCGCCAACTTGCCAGGCTGCAGACTGATTTCTTGAGTTGCTTTCTTTTTAATTTTTATTTTTTTTGGTACCGGGGATCAAACTCAGGTCCTTGAGCTTGCACAGCAGGCGGTGAAACCACTGAGCTAAATCCCTGGCCCTTGAGTTGCTTTCTGAATTACAGGAAAAGGGTGAGGTGGGGAGAGACAATGTGGACATCCTTGCCTCACAACTCAAAACAGAGTCTGGGATGAGAAACATTTGAAGTCACCAAATGGTGTAAGCAGCACACCTAACTTCTTTTGTCTGCTTGGGGGAACAATGTGGGCTCTGCTCAAAGCAGGGTTGACGGTTGCAGCAGTGGTCTGGAAGGAAAACTCAGAGTTCCCCAGCAGCAAGGGATTTCGATGGAGCCTAACCTAGGAGGATTAGCTTCTCCTTCCAGAACAGGCCTCATGCCCAGAGGGGACTTTCTAAAGACTGGGTAGTGGAAAGGCTGGCCTCCACCCCTTGGAGCTTGAAACACCTCCAGGGCCCTGGCCTTGTAGCTGGGGATCCCCAGGGAAACAACAGGGCTTCCTTGTTTACCTGCTGAGCCCGTCCGGACAGTGGGCAGAGTCACAGCCTAGGCCACTGGAGCAGCTCTGAGAGGGAGGTGGTTCAGATCCTCCCCTTGTGGCCACCCAAATGACAGGAGCAAGGCAGTGACATGGAACACGTCTCCCCCAGGGCCCAGGGTCCTGCTGACTCAGCTCCCCCACAGCCAGGTGAATCCATCCATGCCAGCCTTCCCTCAGCCTGGACACTAGGGTCTGCACGGGCCACACGCCTCCAAGGGTGGCCTGGAGCCACTGCCAGCTGATGGCATCTGCTGATAGGGGCCTGGGTCTGGACCACCCAGGGTCACAGCCCCCAGAGAGCTGGCACCCATGTTCTAAAGTGGCCACCTGGGCCTAGTCTGGCCAACTGGGCTTGGTGGTAGCTGGGATCAGCTCAGGTGACTGAAAAAGTCAAAGCAGCCTGATGTGGGTGATAAATAGGAAATTCCTATCCCTCTGGGGACACAGCCTTCGGACACCAGTGCTGGAGGGCCTTGGACACTAGTCTGCAAAGTGAGTCCTGAGGTTCTGGCCCCCCTGAGCACCCTGCTTTCTGCCCCTCAGGCCCGGCTCAAATTCCCCATCGACTACCCATACTCCCCACCAGCCTTCCGCTTCCTGACCAAGATGTGGCACCCGAACATCTATGAGGTGAGCCCGTGCTGCCATGCATGCATCTGCACACTCGTAGACACGGGCACGGGCACGGACACATGCACGCCTCCCATGAGGAGCGCTACACACGCGTGCACACATACCCACATCCCTCAGCCTGTGCTTGCCAAGTGCTGGGAGCCAGCTGACCAGTGCTACTCTCCTCCTCGCAGACAGGGGATGTGTGCATCTCCATCCTGCACCCCCCAGTCGATGACCCCCAGAGTGGGGAGCTGCCCTCAGAGCGGTGGAACCCCACACAGAATGTCAGGTGAGGGCACCACCTGTCCCCGGCCCAGACCCTCGCGGCACCCCCACTGTATCCCAGCTTGCGGCTCCTCATGTTCTGGGGTGCAGGTTTTTGTGTGCCTGGTGTCCCCTTCCCTGACCCACCGCTCCCCCAGGACCATCCTCCTGAGCGTGATATCCCTGCTGAATGAGCCCAACACCTTCTCGCCGGCCAACGTGGACGCCTCAGTGATGTACAGGAAGTGGAAGGAGAGCAAGGGCAAGGACCGCGAGTACACAGACATCATCCGGTGAGCGTCGGGGTCAGCCAGGCCCACAGCGCCTGTTACCTTCTCTTCCTTAGAAAAGCAGGCGGCAGGGCCGGGGATGTAGCTCAGTGGTTTCGCCACCTGCTGCTCAAGCGCAAGGACCCGAGTTCAATCCCTGGTACAAAAAAAAAAAGAAAACCAGGCAGACAGCAGCTGGGTGTGGTGTCGCACACTTATAATCCCAGAGCTGGGGAGGCTGAGGCAGGAGGATTGGCAGTGGGTTTGAGGCCAGCTTGGGCTATATAGTAAGACCCTGTCTCAAAAAACCACAAAAACGGGCAGGGGCTTTAGCTCAGTGGTTCTGCTACCTGCCTCAAAACCGCAAGGACCCGAGTTCAATCCCCGGTACCAAAAAAAACCCCACAAAAACAAGAAAGAAAACCAGGGAGCTTTGTCTCCTCCCGGTTGTAAAGGAGTTAGAGGTTTGGGTGTGCCTCATGGCACACACGTACACTCAGAAGGCCGCCAGGTCACCGCTTCACGCATGTTGCATCGTGGCTGAGCCTACATGCCTGGGCCACTATCCTCGGGATGGTGGCCTTTGTCACACAAGGCCAAAGCACTCAGCTTCCCCTTCGTGTGTGCCTGAGGTCATTCGATAGGCATGCTTTTCAGTTTATTGCCTGTATGTGGCTCACATATGCGGTTTTGAAACTGTAACTCTTTTCCAAAGGAGGAGAGGAGACTCTTGTGGCCCTCCCCGAGGGGACTCCTGGCCATAGAAGCAGCTTGCTGTGCAGGCTTTGTGGTGGCCCCGCTGCCTCACCTGACCCTGCCTGTCGCCATTCCCAGGCAGGGGTAGGTGGCGTCCCTGGGTAGGAAGTGGGTCAGAGGAGGGACGGCGAGGCCTCCTTGGCCCTGCCCATTGTCCCTTCAGTGGGGTGTGCTGGCTACTTGTCTCTTAGGTTTGGGGATTGGTTGCTTGGTTTGGTTTTGGGTTTTTTGGTGCTGGCAGTGGAACCCAGCACCTCGCATATCCTAGGGGAGCACTCAGCACAGAGCCGCACCCCCAGCCCTGCTGGCACATTGTTTAATGGGCTTAACTGTTCACCAGGTTTATTCCAGGTTTCTTTTCACTTTGTTCTTCATCTTTTAATCAGAAATAACACCTCACACACCAACCACTCCACCCAAGAGGAGGCAGGCACGTCCACACCAGCCCTAACCCGAAAATGCACACAGTGGCTCCATTATTCCCTGTGCTGGCACCAGCCCTCTGCTCCTCAAGGCTGGGGAGAGTGGACAGCGCACCTGTCCCCTGCCAGCCCAGACCCCAGTTGGCAGCATTTGGCCAGGCAGCGGCCAGCAGAGGCAGGCAATGTGCCTGCACCTTCACAGGAGCCCTGGCCATGTGGGCCACTAGCTTACAGGATGCAGATGAGGCCACCAGGGTGTGGGATAGGGCACAGGAGCAGGCACAGGGCAGGGCTTCCCCAGGTGCTGCAGAGGGGCACTCCTGCACCAGAATGCAGAGAGAGCTGAAGAGGCCTCACCCCAACCCTAACCCAGTGATTAAGGTCTTCCAGTGGTTTTTTGGGGGCTGAGGTTGTCTGTTTGGTTTTGGTGAGACAGGATTGGACCCAGGGACCAAACCTTTATTCTTTATATCAAGACATAGTCTCTCACTTAGTTGCCCTGGAGCAACTCGAACTTGTGATCCTCCTGCCTCAGCCTCCCAGAATCCTGGAAATACAGGCGTGCACCAGCATGCCCAGCTTTATCCAGAGTTTTAATTTTACTCAAAGGGAGTTGAGGTGTTCAGTGCCTCATGCTCACTCTGGGCTCCATCCTTAGCGCTGTAGATACAAATAAATGAATTTACAAGTATGTTTTTTATCCATAACAGACTGGTGCTGTACAGGCCACCATGTTAGGCAGGTCTGTCAGGGCAGCACACGAAGTGACTCAGCCTCGGTGGCTCACCATCTGAGCATGTCATGTGCCCCAGGGGCTGCCACCAGCCCGCTGCCAGACCTGCCCATTTCCCTTGCCTGCCCAAGGTCTGCCCTGTGATCCTCTTGTGTCAGCCTCCCAATAGCTCAGATCACAAGTGTGTGCCACCATACCCAGCTACCCTTGGTGTCTTTTACACACAGGTATTAACACGCACACAAGTCCACTTGTGGGGAGAGGACAGGCAGAGGCCCCTGGGAGACCCATGATCTCTGTTCTTCCATTGTCCAGGTCCCTTTTCTCTGAATAGAATCACATAGGCCCTGCTCTCCTGCAGGCCTGACCTGTCTCCATTGGTGATTCTTTCTGGTTTTTTGAGGGGAGGTTGGTTTTTTTGAGTCAGGGTCTTGATGTGTAGCCCAGGCTGGCCTCAAACTCATGACAATCCTGTCCCAGCCTCCTGAGGGCTGCAAAGATGGGCGTGCACCACCTGCTCAGCTATCTGTTGGTGCTTCTGTGGTGTTTGTGCAGGAGGAACTTCTTAAACTTGAGCCGTGTGTGAGCACATGGAGTCTGCGTGTATTTGCCACATGTGCCCACGTCTGCGTGTCGGAGCACAGCGCTGCCCGCCAGCTGTCACCAGAGCCATTGGCACTGGGTGTCCTGGGCAGCTGTCCTGGCCACCTTGCGCCAGCCCCCACACATCCCAGGCCCATGTGGTCGGCTCCCAGCCCAGTTCTCCCCGGCTGCCTCCAGTGAGGTGCCTCCCCCTGAGATCCCAGAGCAGAAATAAAAACCGGACTATTTTTATCCTCAGTGCTCCCTGTGGGCCGCTCCCCTGTGCCCACATGGGGGCTGCAGAAGCTGTTCTCTGCCTGCGTCTGCATCTGAAAGTGTGAGTTTCAGCCTCAAAATAGACCGTGTCCCTGCACAGTTCCAAGCAGCCACTGGAGGCAGAGCCCTGGCCTCGTCAGGGGCACAGGACTGGGCTCTGGGGTAGAAAGGGCCCTGCACAGAGCCTGTGGGGTGTGGTGTCTGTCACAGATGCCACCAGGGAGGGCTCAGCCCCTTCCCATTGTCAGTGTCCCTGGACGCCTGTCGTCTCTACAGGAAGGACTCAGTGTGTCTGTCCCCAGTAGCCATGGGGCCCTACACCCCTGGCTGGGTTTCGGGAGCCTGCGTCCCACAGCAGCCCGGGCACTGCAGTGATGCTTCGGCCTGTGCTCCCATCTTGTTTCCTCCCCGCTGTGTCGGGTGGCACCCACAGCACTTACATCTGGACCTAGCTTGGTGGCGTCTCCCATTCTGGACGCTGACATTTGCCACCTCCCTCCCTCCCTCCCCGTGCAGGCCCATTGTCCACTGCCTGGCCAGCCCTAGCTCCTTCCTCCTCCTTCCTCCCCGAGAGCGGGGCCACCACCTGGCTACCTGTCGACATCTGCTTGGGGCTCCTGGCCACTGTACAGTGCACAGGGATCAGGGCTGGCCGCGCCCTGAGCGGTGTCCTCACCCACTCCCTCCCCCAGGAAGCAGGTCCTGGGGACCAAGGTTGATGCAGAGCGCGACGGCGTGAAGGTGCCCACCACACTGGCCGAGTACTGTGTGAAGAGCAAGGCACCAGCGCCCGACGAGGGGACGGACCTGCTCTACGACGACTACTATGAGGACGGCGAGGCGGACGAGGCTGGCAGCTGCCTGGGGGACGAGGACAGCTCCGGCAACGAGGGGTCCTGACGCTGCACCCCGAGAAATAAACTCTCAGCTTTTACCTCAAGAGCAGCCTGGTGGGCTCGGCCCGCCCGCGGACTACCTCACGGAGCCCACGTGGCGCCTCCTGGTGGGTGGTGCTGGGCCCCTCCCTCCTCCCCGTGTTCTGGCTTTGCCTGTGCTGCAGAGGATAGTAGCCGCCCAAGGCCTGGGCTCCAGGGACTGGCACGGCCCAGCAGGGCCTCAGTGAAGCCAGATGGGGACAGGTGACTCGGGGGGTGGGGAGCAGGACCTACCGCCCACAGCTCAGCCAGGAGCCACAGACTCGTCCAGCGACGAGTGGTCGGTGACTTGAGGCCCCTCTCCTCCACGCGTTTTGTTTGAGTCTAAATAAAACTGCTTTATGAAGAGGCAGATGCTCTCTTGTGGGACGAGGCGGCCAGGCGCTGCTTGTCACCAAGGACTGCAGCCCAGCTGAGTCCCACCACACCAGCCAGGTCTGGGGTTGGTCGGAGGGTCCCATCTGGGAGGTCAGGAGTGGGCAGGGGGTCCTGACTGTGGCACTGGAGAGCAAACCCAGGGCCTTTGCCCTGAGACACTTCTCCACCCCTTTTAACTTTGAATCAGGGTCTCGCTAAGTTGTCCCAATTGGCCTTGATTTCCCAGAGTGCTAGAGTTGCAGACAGCACCACCTTGCCACGCAATTTCTGTCTTTTCTTACAGCCAGGAGGCCACCCAGGCCACAGCCCAACCCACCTCTTCCCCTTGGCTCTGTGGCCCTGTGCTCTCTGAAGGACAAAAGAACAAATGAATCAAGCAAAGGGGGAGGGCTGGGTGGGCTTGTTAGTGTATAATGGGTGTGGCTTCCCTTTGGAAAGGTGGGAAGGTTCTGGGGACACGTGGAGATGGTTCGCAGCCATGCGAATGTGCTTTTTCTGCAAAAATGCTTAAGGTGGTCTGTTTTGTGCATCTTTTTCTCACAATAAGGAAAAGGCTGGATGTGGTTGTTCCCAGTATAATTGCAGCTCTCTGGGAGCCTGAGGCAGGAGGATCGGAAGTTCAGGCCCAGCCAAAGCACCACAGCTTGCCAGTATCCTGTCTCAAAGGCAGTGGGGGACGGGGAGTGGCAGGGACTGTAGCTCAGTGCAGAGGCCCTGGTTTAATCACAAATACTGAAAAAAGAAAAGGCAAGAGGCAGGCTGGGACACATTTGAGTGCTGGAGTGCCTGCCTAGCATTCACGGGTCCTGGATTCCATCCCCAGCACACACACAAAGATACAGTGGTATACACCTATATCCCCAGCTGCTGGGAAGGCAGAGGCAAGAGGATCACAAGTTCAAGGCCAAGATGGACAATTTAGATCCTGCCTCAAAAGAGCTAGGAGTATAGCTAAGCAAGCACTCTAGGTTCAATTCCCCAGTACAACCACCCCCCCACACACAAAAGGGAGCTAGTGAGAGGAAAGGAGGGAAAGAATCAAAGCTGGGCTTTGCACACACCTCTGATCCCAGCATTTGGGAGGCTGAGGCAGGAGGGTTGCCATGAGTTTGAAGCCAGCCTGAACTGCATGTTGAGACCCTGTCTCGAGAACAAAGAAAACGTCACATTGATACAAACATGAGACGGGAGTTTGCACACTGTCTGGAATACTTGTTAACTTTTTAGGTATGACCATGGTAATGTGGCGTGATCTCAGAGCCCCATCCTTCAAAATACTTGTGGGGTCCTGGGGATAGGGCCAGGGCTCACCACTGAGTCAACACCCAGCCCTGGAGACCCTATGCAGGCAGGCTGTGGGAGAGAAAACCAGGCCGAGGAGGAGGAGGGAGGAGGGCACCCGTATGCAGGGTGGGGCTGTGAATGTCACAGTCCCGCAAAAAGAAGAGTGGGGAGGCCATGCCAGGCCGGCTCGTTCCTGCTGCTGCTGTGGGTCCTCGGGCACCATGTGCCAGTGAGCAGGAGCAGGAGGGTGGCACTGAGGCCCAGAGCTCTGCTACCCTGGGGGCTGTGGATGATGGGAACAGCTGCAGGTGGGAGGACCAAAGATGGGAAGGAGCTCAGGGTTTCCCAGAAATGGGGTCTCCAGGAGGGGGAGTCACACGTCCGTCCTGATTGAAAACGTGTAAATGAACAGCATGGCGGTACACACTTGTGACCTCAGTACTCAGAGGCTGAGGCAGGAGGATTGAGAGTTCAAGGCTAGCCTAGGCACACAGACCCCATCTCAAAACAAAAAGAAACATCTAAATTATGAGGGCAATGGCCACAGCGGTGTGAGAATTTCTTTTCTAACAGAAGCTGTAAGAATTTCCTTGTAGCTGGGTGTGATGGTGCCCACTTCTAATCCCAGTGGCTCTGGGAGGCTGAGGCAGAGGAATCAAGTTCAAGCCCAACCTATGTGACTTAGACCCTGTCTCAAAAATAAAACAGGGAGGGCCAAGGATTTAGCTCAGTGGTTTCGCCGCCTGCTGCGCAAGCACAAGGACCCGAGTTCGATCCCCAGTACCAAAATAAAAAAGGAAAAAAGGAAAAAATTTTAAAAATTAAAAAGGCGTAGGATATAGCTCACTGCAAAGGCCCTGGGTTCAGTCCCCAATCCTGCCAAAAAGAAGGGAAAAATATGTGGTTGATTTGCTGTGACTGTTTTTTAAGGGGCTCAAGACTGAGGTGGGAGGGTGAGAAGGAGGTTCACTTTCTGCTGATAACTTTTTAAATGCTGTGCCATCTGCCTGGAGTACATCGTCAAAAAATAGAATGTTTTGAAAGCCTGTCATCCCACACTTGAGAGGCTGAAGCAGGAGGATCACAGTGCACAGCCAGCCTGGGCTACATAGCAAGACCCTGTCTCAACAACAAAATACTAAAAACTATTTAAAAACAAAGTGCAGGTGGTTAGTCAGGGGCACAAAATTTGTTTTGCAGAGGATGGAAGCTTTGGAACTCAGGTGGTGGTTGTACCTCTGCAGACAGAACTTCCGGTGGGGCGCAGGGGAAGACACCCCGTGAAGCTGCTGTGGGGGTGAGGCCACTTCAGAAGAAAGATGAATTTTCTTTTTTAATTTGATTGAATTTTGGTGTTAGCAGACAAGCTACAAAAATGAGAACTCCTCCATGTCCAGCAGTTGCTGTCGTGCGGGGCGTGCTTTTACAGAACCGTCAGAACCGTCCAGGGCTGAGCGGCAAATGTGCCATCCTCCAGCTCCCTCCAGGTCCTGAGGGGCCTTTGAGACCTCATGCTCCATGCTTCTTGCTCTAACCGTGGCTGGCAGTCAGGATACAGGACCCAGGAGGCAGGGCTGTTAACACCCCATGTTTTGGACCAAGAAACCGGGGCTCAGCATAAAGAGCCCACCTAGGACTGCCCAGGTGGTCACTTCCAAAGCCCTAGGCTGGGCCAGGGCGGGAGCCTGGGAGTGTGAGATGGAAGGCAGGGAGCGAGGTGTCCGGAACTCTGCTGGCTCGGGGAGAGTGGGCTTCGATGAATTGGGCCTTTAATATGATGGTGCCTTAGTTACTTTTCTCCTTGCTGAGAAAAAAATACCCAATACCTAAAATTAAACTCCCATGTGTGAGTGCATGAGGCTTTGGGGAGACATCTAGACACAGCATAACAGATAGAAGCACAGGTTCCACCCATCCACGTATCATTCAATCATCCATCCATCATCCATCCATCCACCCATCCATCCACCCATCCTTCCATTGCCCTCCCCAGAAGGCGACGCGCTGGACAGATCCGAGGCCAGGACTGTGGGAGGGCCCGAGGCTTCCCCCACTCCCACCCATACCTGGATACATGGTGTCCCCCAGAAAGGTCATGACCACCAGTGCAGCGGGCCCTCATATACCCACAGTGCGTGCTGACAGCCACCCACTGCCTGGAGCACCCGTGAGTACCCCACCACCCCTGCCATCCCTGCGCCCAAATCCCCACAGCCACCAATGGGGGCTCTGAGAGACCTCAGCCAGCACAGGCAGGGGCCCTTCCCCTCTCCAGAGGCAGCTTCACGCTGGCGGTGTCCTGGCTGGTTTCACTTGTTACAGGGAGGCCTGCCTCCTTCCAAGCAAACCGATTTGGGCCACCTGAGGCCCCAAGGCACACAGGAAGGAACCCGGTCCCTGATGCCATTGAGAAGCTGCTACATTGCCAGGTGTGGTGGTGCACACCTATAATCCCGGCACCCAGGAGGCTGAGGCGAGAGGATTTCTGTGAGCTAAAGGCCACCTTGGGCTTTATAAAGTTCAAGGCCAGCCTGAACTGCATAGCAAGACCTTGTCTCAAAAAAAGAGAGAGAGAGAGAGACAGAGAAAAGCTGCTAAATAAACCCACCCTGGGGCTGCTCTGCCTCTGGACTGGCCAGTAATAGATGAAGCCAAAGTAACCAATAGGGATCTGTTGGCTCACATACCTGAGAAGTCCAGGAGGTCTGGCTTCAGGTGTGGCTTTCCATCGGGTGGCAAGGATGGATCCCTGGCGTCCTGTGGGAAGACTTGCCTCTCCCTGGTTCAGGAAAAGCTCTGAAAACTGGTGGACACACCCCACGCCAGACTGGGCTGGGCAGGGGCGGGTTCAGGGGAGGCTGAGGGTGATGGTCACAGTGGCACACTCTGGGGACCTGGTGTCGGCAGGAAAAAGGAGCTGATGGTGGCACTGGGGCTCCATGAGGCAAGGGCCCAGGTCTCGGCTTCCACATCAAGCCAGCTATGTAGCACCTGGACTACGTGCTGCTGCCCAGGCTGGACCACGACCTCATGCTGCTGAAGGTGCCAGGGACAGGGGCGGGCAGGCTGAGCACGACCCTGCAGCCCCACTCACCCCCTCGTCTGTGCCTGCAGCCGAAAGGCAAGGTGAAGCCCCACAAGAAGGTCTGGGTCCTGGACTTGCCGCGCTCGCTCCGTACCACCCAGAGGAATGTGGTCCACCATGACTGGCTGGGGGTACACAAAGAGCTCCCCATCAGCACACTCTGCCAGACAGTGATCGACCCCAAAGGCCAAGGCCCCTGCAACATCCAAGGGCACCTCTTGTAGGGGACAGGGTCATCTGACCTGGTGGGAGGATAGTGGGAGAGACTAGCATTTGCCTGGTCCTGGGCTGCAGAATTGAGGCCCAGAGAGGTTGGGGAAGAAGCTCAGGGCCACACACCCAGGAAGCCACAGAGCCCTGGTTCAAATTCTAACAGCAAAGACGAGCTACCCCACGGCACAGCACATGCAAAGGCCATGGGGTTCGAATGAGGGAGAACAGGACAGGGGAGAAGGGAGGAGGCGCACATGCAGCTGGGAAGTGGCCCCAAGCTGACCTGCTTTCTGTCCCCCCTGACAGGGTGACTCCGGTGGGCCTCTGGTGTGACCAAGGCCAGGTGGCAGGATTTTTGTCCTTTACTTCCCTGACCTGTGAAGATGTCTTCA